ACTTGGTAGTCCAGGCTGGCCTCGAACTCACAGAGATCCACCTGGCTCTGCCTCCCGAGTGCTGGGATTAAAGGCGTGCGCCACCACCGCCCGGCTCAATTCAAATTTTAAACCAGTTTTCCTAGTGACATTTTTGGTGGGGCAGCTGATAGAAGCTAAAAGGGCAAAGATTGAGGATCCATCAGTTATTTTATCTTTACTACATGGCATAAATGAGTCAAAATGAGGAAACCATGTTGTACAACAATTCTCAATAGATATATCATTATAATTAGTATTGTTTTTGTCTGTTCCTTTTTTTTTTTTTTTTTTAAGACAAGGTTTCTGTGTGTAGTCCCAGCTGTCCTGGATCTCACTCTGTAAACCAGGCTGGCCTCGAACTCAGAGATCCAGTTGCCTCTGCCTCCTGAGTGCTGGGATTAGAGGGGTGCGCCACCACCACTTGCTATAATTAGTGTTGTTTTAACACAAGACTTGCTGAGGAGTGACCATATGTGCCTGTTGGCATGAGAAAAAGTAGGCAGACAGTGTAGTTGTGGAAACATGGGCCATGGTAGGATGTTTGTACTGGAAAGACCAGGGAAGGGAAATGTTAGTGCTGACAAATCAGAAAGGATATAGTTAGCTGTTTATTTTATTAAACCCACATTGCTCATTCAGTCTTGTTTGCTAATTTACCTATCTATATGAACTTTGATACTCAGGATATGTTTTTATTGCTAGAATTGGCTTGTTTCAGAAAATTTGAAGTGAAAGAAGTACAGTTTTCTTATTTTTATGGGAATTTTAGAATTTGAGGTATGTAAGGGCTTAATTATCATAATTCAATCACAACAGTGTTCCATCAATTAGAAGGTATATTATCTGTTTTTCTTATATTCTCCAGAGAGAGGGAAAGATAACATAGTTGCACAACATCAAGGCCTTTAAAAAAAGCAGAAGCAGACAGATATGGAGAAAATACATTCATAATTTCTCTGAGTTTACTCAGAGGTCTTGAGATGAACATAATTGCAGGAGAGCTTGCTTTTACAGTGGGGAAGGATCTTAAATGAATGTGTACTAGATATGACTCTACTGTGAATTGTTTGTGTTTCTGTCATGCTTCTGCGTCTTCATTCAGTCTGTCTCTACAGAGATGTACAAAGCAGTCTAGTCATACAATGAAATGAAACAAAAGCTAAGGTGACAATGATAAATGGGCTAGAGTGTTTTCCAGCTTTTCCCTATAGGAGGGAGTTAGTTAGTTCATTTGACAAATACTTGATGAACATTAACTAACTGTACACAAAGTACCACTCCGAGTCCTGGGAATTCATCCTGGATCAAATAAGCAAAAATCACCCCTCTATTAAGCCTAGATCCTAGACTGTGCTTCATTTGGAAGACAGTGTGTTTGGAGTGATGTGAGGAAAAGCAGATAATTGCTACAAACAATTCAGGAAGTCAAAGAAAGTAAAAGCTTGGAAAGTACAAAGGGTGAAGGCTTGAATGTAGGAGAAATGTTTGAGACTCTGAGCACCTACCCTATGTTTAATGTTTAGAATTACTCACTTTTCTCTAAATTTCATTCATTTATTACATCAACATTTACCTTTTTTTTTTTTTTAAACAGCTCTCACTGTGTAGCCAACCTGGCCTCATACTCATGGAAATTCTCTTGGCTCAAGCTCCAGAGTACTGCTGTTAGAGGCAAAAGCCATCACACTAAGCCTGACTTAGCTTTCTTAATTTAGTGATACAGTGATATAATACCAATGACTTTGGGTTTCTTTTTAATTATAGACTTTAAGCTCTTAATTACGGGAAGATGCTGAAAATGGTTCTGCATTGCAGCAGTGGGTGTTTTCCTGCTTAAACTGATCATAGGGTTTCACTTTTGCAAACTAGTGGCTCCGCCATTAAGCCATTTCCCCAGCTCCTTCTTGTTTTTACTTCGTAGTAGCAAAAGTAATATTTTTATTTAATGCATTAAAAAAAAGATCCTCGCTTGTTGATTGTTTTTGCTCTTGAAACTTTTAGCTGAATTATGTATTAATTATTATTAGGATTAATTATGCATTTAGAAAAAATTTAGGCGGATAGCAAAATCTGCATGCATTTCACATTGTACAAGCTTTGGTAGCCGAATCCTTCCTTCCATCAAATAATCATGATAACAAGTTAGAGACCTTTCTATATCTAGAATAAACAAAGGCTTGCTTTCTGTTCCTGTGAAAAAGCAACTCAATATTTATGTATGTCATTCTGGCATTCATAGAGTATGTATTGCCTTTGAGATGGAGGAAGTCTGGCTGGGTTTGACTGAATTTACCTTTGCTTTTAAATTGGTTAAAATCATGAATGAATATTAAAGTCCAGCCCAAATGAGAATCAAAATGGATGGCCCAGGGAAGTCTCAGCATGTAGTTGTGCATTTAGCACAACTTTCCAAATTCTTATTTAACAATAGAATTTATCATATTCTTCAGTCAGTGCTCAGGTCATTTTTTTTTATTAAGAAATTTTTTATTCTTTCCACATTACCAACCACAGATCCACCTCTCATCCCTCCTCCTGCTCCCTCCAGCCTTCTCCCCCAACCCACTCCCCATTCCCTCCTCTGAAAAGGTATGGCCTCCCATGGGGAGTCAGCAAATCCCCCCACTCAGGAGGCAGGTCCAAGCCCCTCCCCCTGCATCAAGGCTGTGCAAGGTGTCCCACCATAAGCAATGGGCTCCAAAAAGCCAGCTCATGCATCAGGGATGGATCCTATTCCCACTGTCCGGGGCCCTCAAACAGAACAAGCTACACAGCTGTCTCGTCCATGCAGAGGGTCCAGTCAAGTCCCATGTCTCCATAGCTGCCGGGCCAAAGTTCACGAGCTCCCACTAGATTGGTTCGGTTGTATCTGTAAGTTTCCCCATCATGGCCTGATGCCTCTTGCTCTTCCTTCTCTTTGACTGGACTTCCTGGAGTTATGCCTGGTGCTTGGCCATGGCTCTTTGCATCTGTTTCCATCAGTTACTGGATGAAGGCTCTATAATGACAGCTAGGGCATTCACCAATCTGATCACCAGGGTAGGCCACCTCAGGCACCCCCTCCACCACTTATAGCAGTCTGAGCTGGTATTGGCCTTGTGGACTCCTGGTGAACTTCCCTCACACCAGGTTTCTCCCTATCCCCATGATGTCTCCCTCTATCAATGTATCTCCCTCATTGCTCTCCCATTCTGCCCCTTTCCACCCCATTCCCCCATGCTCCCATCCTCCATCCCCTACCCTCCATTGCCACCTTCACCCCCAGTTTACTTAGGAGATCTCTTATATTTCCCATTCCCGGGGCGATTTATGCAAAGAGTACCTCTTAGGGTACTCTTTGTTTCTTAGCTTCTCTGGAGCTGTGGGTTGTAGCCTGGTTATCCTTTCCTTTACATCTAGTATCCACTTATGAGTGAGTACATACCACATTTGTCTTTCTGAATCTGGGTTACCTCACTCAGGATGGTATTTTCTAGTTCCATACATTCATTGCTCAGAACAATTTAAAGTAATATATTTATAGACCACTTTCACAGCCTTTAACGAAAGTTGATGAATAGCAAGTATTACTGTAATCATGTGTCACTTAACAGGGAGATGTATTTTGAGAAATGTGTCATTGTTGGAACATCAGAGTGTACTTACACATACCTAACTGATTTGATCAGTCACTGAATGTGGCTTCTTGATGCCATCCAGAGATTCTGTAAACAGGAGGAAGGAGGCTACTGTTAGCCTAATATGGCAGTCTGTCTTAGAGGAGACTCTTTTTTAGTAAGGAGGAGTACATTTTAAATGAACAATGAAAGTACACTATGAATTGTACATTCTGCATTGCTCTACATTTAATGTCTGTTTACATTAGTATCACCACAAACACATAAGTAATATGTTATACTATGACATCATAGCAGGTGCAGGGTTAATAGATTCTTTTAATTTCTGTGTATTTTTAGGGATACTATCACATGTGTGATCTGTTATTGATTTAAACATCACTGTGCTGTGCAGGGATTTACAGAAACAGATGCTCAAACAATAAATTTATCTTTTCAGTTATTACTACATAACAAAGAGTTACTCCTGTGTAGTGACAGCATAAAAATTTAAAACTAATACTTTAAGGCATTTAATAGAATATTTTGGTTAAAAGACTAAGTAATATAGCTATGAAGAAAAATATAAAATATTGGTATTTAAAGTTGACTTAAAGGTACATGCCTCAATACATAGGAATAAATTGTAATGATGCTTTGCAAGTGTTTTAAATAATCCAATTATTGAGATGGCAAAGATATGAGAATTCACTGTCCTATTGTATAGTTTTCTGTAGTTTTGAGATTTTTCACAATAAAATGTTAGATGAAACTAAATACAATGCTTAATTGAACTAACTCATTCTTTTCAAAATTCTAGGAAAGTTAGAATGCATGTTAATAATATTAACAAAATCACAAGAATTTACAATGTAATTGGAACTATCAGAGGGTCCATAGAACCTGGTGAGTCACTAAAATTTTAAAGACATTTTCTTTTAACAAAGATTAAGAAAAGATGAAATTCTGTCAATAGCATATTTTTCTGGCTAATTTGAAACTGAAATTCAGGGGAAGGATATTTCCACTCTAAAAGATTTTACTTTTGCTTGTCTTCTGTGGAGGAAACTCAGGCAGGAGAAAACTTAATTTAAATACATAAATGACAAATGCCTGTAATGTATACAAGTTGAACCTCTTTGAACACATTCTTGTTCAGATAGGTATGTCATTCTGGGAGGTCATCGTGACTCCTGGGTGTTTGGAGGGATTGACCCTACCACTGGGACAGCAGTTTTGCAAGAGATTGCCCAGAGTTTTGGGAAACTGATGAATCGAGGTAACTAGCATTCTCTGGTAGCTGCTGACTGAAAGTGACTTGCTTAATATTCCTGTACCTATAGGTGGGTGTATTTAACCATGCTCACTAACATGATTGCAGGCTGGAGACCTAGGAGAACTATCATCTTTGCCAACTGGGATGCAGAAGAGTTTGGGCTGCTGGGTTCAACTGAATGGGCTGAAGTAAGTAGCAGAGAAGGTACTTATTATAATATTGTATAGATTATCTTACCTAACCGAGAATGACTCAAGTGAATTTAAGACATAGAATTTGTTTTTACTCTCACATCTATTTGGCAAAGCAGAGTCACTTCTTAGGCTAAAACTACTTATTACCAAAGTATTTCAATATTTTTCTGTATTTGTATTGTGAAAACAAAATCAGTAAACTCAGAAAATAATTGGAATCTGCAAGCTGTTCATTTTTTTTTTACCTTTCATTACAGTTATATGCTTTGTTAAATATAAAATGACAATTCTGTAAATGTAATCAATTTCATAAAGTAGCTTAACTTACTATTTCACAGTGCTGTCTTTTTTTTCTTTCTTACAGGCTCTTAACTTACAGAGCCTCTCCTATGCACCTTCTTTCTTCTTTCCAGTTCTCCTCTGTTGGTAATGTCTAAGTTCTCACATGTGTAAAGCGAGCACACATTTTCATACAGTTAGATATGCTTTCTCTCTACCATCTCTCTGTCACATGTAAGTACAAATTTTGCTGGTGTGTTCTAAAGCAAAATTTGCATGTCTGTGTATAGTTTAAAAAATTCTTTCATCCCAAATCATTTCCTTTTACATTACTATAAAATAATAATATGAAGCAAAATCAAATAGTTACTTAACTGATATCACTTATCTTTGTTGGTTACATTTACATTGTAAAGTTTCATTTTGATACTGGTGCTAAATATGAAATTTGAAAATACAGCATTAATTTAGATTGGTTGAATATTATTGATCGAGGTAATTTCTTTTTAGAATGTGTGATTTCTTATAATGTATGTGTACATAGATATATTTGTTCCTTCCATTTCAGAAATTCAAAATAAAAAAAAAGAAATCTAAGATTTGCAATAGTAAATTTGCATTGATACACATGTGAGTTTAGGAATAATTTCAACATTCTTCCTAGTTTTCTGTACCAGGCTTTTTCTTTGGGGCCATTAACCAGTTCCCAGATTATGACATGGAGACTTACTAGTTTTGAATGCTCGGCCTAGATTAGGCTCATCTGTGGCTATCTCTTTTAATTTAAATTAACCTGTTTGTTGTTATCTACCTTTTGCCTCGGGCTTTTTACTTCTCTTGCTTCTGTAGATCTTACTTTCACTGCTTCTTGTGTCTGCTGGCTGACAGCTTCCTGGCTGGCCCCAGGCAAGTCCCTTCTCTCCTCCTTCTCCTTCTCCTCTTCTCTCTCAAGCCTAGATTTCTACTCCTGTTTATTCTCTCTGCCCACCAGTCTCGCCTACCCTTTTTTCTGCCTAGCTATTGGCTGCCCAGCTCTTTATTAGACCAGTCAGGTACCTTAGGCAGGCAAGGTGAAACAAATACAACACATCTTTACATGATTAAACACACATCCTTGCATCGTTAAATAAATGCAGCATAAACAAATGTAACACATCTTTGCCTAGTTAAAATAATATTCCACAACAATTTTCTGTAAGACAGGTTGTCATATTCAATAGTACATTTAACTTCTATGAGAACATATAAGGAGTTATGTATGGTGATGCACACCTTAATTAGTGCATCCAGGTGGCAGAAGCAGGAAGATCTATAATTTGAGACCAGCCAAGTTTATATGAGTCCCTGCAAATGCTGTACTAGAGATGTTGACTATAATCAAGGCAACCATATTAGTTACTTTTCTTGTTGTTGGAACAAAATGCCTGAGAAAAGCAACTCAAAGTAGAAAGGGTTTATTCCACTCATAGTTCAAAGGTACAAACCCGTGGCAAGAAAGTAGAGATGACATTTCTGTGAAGCAGCTGATCACGTTACATCCACAGTTAGGAAGCTGAACTAGATGGATGCTGGTGCTTGCTATCTAGTCCAGAACCCTAGTACATACAGTAGGCTTGTTATTCTTTATTTTATTCTTTTACTTCTCGATAGATTTTTATAAATATAGATAAATGACTTTTATGTTTCTCACTCTTATACTGTACTTAGGAATCCACTTAGTGGACCTCAGATTCAGTGGATGTAAGGATCAATCTCTAGGGACACCTATTAGAAAACAATCTCTAGGGACACCTATTAGAGTTTCAGGCCTCACTTTGAACAGTCTAGATTCAATAGATTTTAGTTAGGACTACCAAATTTTTGACCCTCACCTCAGCATATTCTGATACAAAGAATGAAGGAATCACACCTGAAACTATTTTCATGGCCTTTTTGCTTTTGGTATACAGCTTCATAATGTTCTCTTTTTCTTACTTTAATTTTTATTGCTATTTTCAATTAAGAAATTATCAGAATTTTTTAAATTTTGTGGTTGTGGGCAGATACTGTATTTGACTTATAAACATCAGCAACCCATTTTACAGGAGATTAGTGTGGCTACTTTGTTTATATTTCCAAAGCAGTAAATGCTGTGAGTGTTAACAACTTGGCTTCAATTGCAGGAGAATGCAAAGATCCTCCAGGAGAGAAGCGTTGCTTACATCAACTCAGATTCATCTATAGAAGGTGTATTGTATTTTATTTTGAAATACAGTGTTCAAAAAGTAAATTCTATTTTTAGTAATTTCATTTCTAGTTGGTATGCTATCCTTTTAAGTTAAAAGTCTCATGAAGGGCCTCAAATTCCCACTTCCACTGCTAACCACTAGGATTACAGGAGTGTGCCAAAATGCCTGACAATTTTTTTTTTTTGGTTTATTATTTTCTTAGGCCTAAAAATTCTAACTTACTAGTATCTCAAATCTTATGTTTAGATAAGACTATTCAGTAATAACTTAGTTTTTTGTTTTACCACAGGAAAAATAATTCATATCAATCATTATGACTCATAACTGAGCTATGGCTCCTGATTTTTTTGCTCTATCTTTGGTTTATATTTGCTTGCCTTGGATTGCAACTTAAAACCCTACTATTCACCACAATTTTGTGGAGGAATTAGTGAAATTTGATTGGAGTATTTGAGAAGAAATATTCTGCAGAATATCTCCATACAAAAATATTTTCTTAATAAAACATTTCCTTAAAAGATAAAAATAACTTTTATAACTTATTGGAACTGCTTTTTAAAGTGACACATTGTATTTACCTCTCAGCATTTTTGGCGCATTTTTGTTTATTGTCCCTGAAGCTGTTGCAATATGCATACTGTTTCTGATACATTGATCTAAACAAATGAAAGAATGAATGATTCTGTAGTCTTAATGCTTTCTTTGACACTGTCCCTGAGAGATGGTGCTACAAGGAAAATTGGCTGATGGCTGTGGGAGCTGCCACATCAGCCACCAGGTTCCACCATTGCTTCATCAGTTTAAACAATGCACTTCAGTCTCTCTCTCTCTCTCTCTCTCTCTCTCTCTCTCTCTCTCTCTCTCTCTCTGGAGCATTTTGAATTAAAGACTGTTACATTATATTTTAAATAGAAAGTTGCAATTAAACATAGATGAATTTCATTTGGTAGTATGAAATGTGACTTTCGTGTTTGCTTTGTTCTTCAGGCAATTACACTCTACGAGTTGACTGTACTCCTCTTCTTTACCAGTTGGTGTATAAAGTGGCAAGAGAGGTAAATGAGGACACCTGGCTTACGATTTTATGATGAATGGACAACACATTTCTGGCCTAATTAGCTACATTTATTTTTAAATTACTATCAGAACATTGGTGACTCAAATAAGTAGCAACTAAAACCAAGTTTATAATATACAGCTTACTATGTGACATAATTGTGAGGATGCTAAGAAGTAAAGTATTAAAAAGAAGCCAAGGAATTCAGAAATCAAGCAATGCAGAAATCACTGGTCTTCCTCACCAGAAAAATCACTGTATGTCAGCATAGTGAGTAGAATGAACAGTAATTAGTCCAAAGGCAAAGGGGGAGGAGATCTGCAACTGGTGATTACACAGAAACATTATAAACATTAAACTAACTATATGTGTTAAATATTCTGAAGAACTAGAGCACATTGAATCTCAAAGTAAAATCAGATAATGTACTCCCAATAGCTGTACACTTCATTTAAGTAGTCCTCTGGTATAGAATTTACTTATAGAGGTGCTGGAGTTACAGATCAGTGGTTAAGAGCACCAGTTGACTTTCCAGATCTTCCAGAGGACCTGATTTTGGTTTCCATCGCCCACATCAGGTGTCTTACAAGTGCCTGTAATTTCAGCTCAAGGGATCTGCCACCCTTTTATATTTCCTTGGATACCTGAACACACATGGTGCATGAGAATACACACACACACACACACACACACACACACACACACACACAACAACAACAACAACAACAACAACAATCACATCAATAAAAATAAAACGAATCTTTAAAACAAACGCATTTACTTGTAGAAGTGTTTGCTGCTGTAAGGGCAGCCTTAGTGAAAAGTAAGAGGTGAGTATCATTCTAATGCAGGTTCTATTTTCTAATCTCTTTAATCTTGCTCTACCTGCCTGTTTACTGCTACTGTTTCTAAAAACAGGTTTTGTTTGTTTTTCAAGCAAAAGTGCTTGCTATATTTTCCCTCTGGTTGGTGTCCTTACCCTCTTGAGTAAACTTATTTCCTTGTTCTTTTATTGGAACACCTCACAATAGTTTCTTTCCTAAAATCAAGTGTAAAGAGAATCTTTATGGTGCAATACTTCAGAATATGTTTTTATGATCTGTACTGTATTTGCAAAATGGCTCCTGTCTTTGATGTCAGGGTGATAAGAACTTTGGAACCAGTAAGTAGAAGTTCTTAATTGTGCATCTTGTGCAAAGACACATACTTATTATCTATGGTCATACAAAGACCCGGGGAACTTTCCTGTAAACAGATTACTACAATTTCTCCCATCCTTCATGTATTAGTTACTTTTCAATTTCCATGAAGAGACAGCATGACCAAACTAACTTATAGAAGGAAGAGTTTACTGGAGACTTACAGTTTCAGAGGGTGAGTCTGTGACCATGATGGTGGGTAGCATGGCAGCAGGCAGGCAGGCAGGCACCGCATTGGTGCAGTAGCTGAGAACTTACGTCCTTACCTGTAAGCACAAGGCACAGAGAGAGCTAACTAGGAATGGCATAGCCTTTTGAAACCTTGAAGCCCATCCCCAGTGACACACCTCCTCCCACAAGCCCATACATCCTAATCCTTAAACAGTTCCACCAACTGGGGACCAAGCATTCAAACATATGAGCTTATGGCAGGCATCCAAACCATCATGCCTAACAAGTCAAATAATCAAGGTGATGGCAGGAGGGTAAAGAAAAGCAGTTGCCCAACTCAACAAGAAATGGGGCACCATACTGCTGTGCTGATAGGATATCTCATGGAAGCAGTTAAGATTGGTCATGGTTCAGGGCCACAAGGATGAGGCATGAGTCAGTGACTCTAGAAAATGAGGAGGATTCCCACCCATCCTCTACCCTTGCCAGCCTTCCTCCCTTTCCTCATATTCATGTCTCTTTGGATTTTTAACCCACTGAGTTTAAACAGGGCTGTCCTTATGACCATGGTTGTGGAACTAGCCACTGGAGCATGTTGGGCTTACTGGTAGGTACAGAAATAGAGACATTGAATCCTCCTCTCTCTGCATACATCAATAGCCACAAATTTTTCTCCCTTCAACAATTGACTGTTGATAGGCCCACTCATATGCAGGCTTAGTGAAGGCAACTGCACACACAATTGCTGTAAGCTCAGAATTACAATGGCTTGTCATACCCAGGAGATTGCATTTTGGATCCTGTCTCAGTTATGATCCTTGGCCAGTCAAAGTATAGTTTTAATACATAGCTGAATCTCTATGATATATTCTTGTGGCCCACAAAACCCCTTTCCATTTTCACATCACACGAGTGTGGTGATATTTTATTTGTGCTGAAATGTGATGATATTTTATTTGTGCTTTAGCAAATAAAGCTTGCCTAGAGATCAGAGGAATAGGAACAACCATTACAAGTAAATAAAGAAGTGAAGCAACAGAAGCAAACGCCTTTAATCCTATCACTTGGCAGGCAGGAATCTGTCTGGATCTGTGTGAGTTCAAGGCCACACTGGAAACAGAGCCAGGTGTGGCGACATATGCTTTAAATTCCAACACTAGTTAACCATGGAGGTTTGGAGATCTGTACAGACAGACAGGAAGTGACAGCGCTGGGCAGGAAGAAGAAGTGATGTAGCTGGACAGAGAGAGCAAATCAGATGACAGAACAGCAAAGGCTTTTAGGTGTGGGTAGACAGGAAGTTGCTTGCATCTGGAAGCTGCCAAATTGGTGAGGTAAGGTTAGCTGTGGCTTTCCCTATGTCCCTGATCTCTCTCAGGCTTTCACCCCTATATCTGGCTCCATGTTTTTTATTTAATAAGACCATTTAGAAATTCATCTTCACATGAGTTCTACTGTGTACCCTTCTTTAGGACTTTTCCCTAGCCCCCATACTCCTTTTATAATTTCCTGGTCTCTATAGATTCCAAGTTAAATACAAAATTCAATTAAAAGGGATGATACATGTATAGTAAAGAACATGTGGTATTGGATTTCTGGGTCCGAGTTACCTCACTTAGTGAATTTTATCCTCAATTCTACCCATTTTCCTACAAATTTCATTTTTATTTGGTGCTAAATAGAATTACATTGAATAAATGTGACCTATTTTCATTACCGACTTTTCAGTTGATGGACATCTCGTTTGGTTCCATTCCCTAGCTATTGTGAAGAGGACAGCAGTGAACACAAACGTGCGAGTGTCTCTAGTGTTGGCTTGGGGTATATGTGCAGGGGTGGGATAGCTGAGTCACATGAAGATCTTTTTTTGATTTTCAGAAAACTCCACACCGATTTCCACAGTAACTGACCAAGGTATAAAGGTTCCTGATTCCTCACATTAAGAAAATCCAGCTTTGCTTAAACACAATTTAAAAAATAGAAATAATTGTACTCACTACTACTGACTTTTTTCCAGCAAAAGTAGGATCTATTGGTTTAGATAAAGGCAATTTATTAAAAAAAATGTATCTACATTTTCTCCAGTATCTTTACCTGAAACATTTTAAAACTTTTACTTAAAATGTTATCAATAAAAAAGGAAATTCCTTTTTTTAGGTAATTGACAATGTTACCAAGAACAGTCATCATAAATTAAGACAAATTTGGGGTAGTTGTTTGTTTTTCTTATAAGTTACAAAATATACTATTTTCATGTAAGTGAACATGACATATGCATACACATACAGATAGGAATGGAAGTTGATACTAATGTGCAGATGGAGTTAAATTGGTTATACATTTACTTCAGTTCCTGATGCCCACTGTTTGTTTTTCTAGATCTCCAGCCCTGATGATGGTTTTGAAAGTAAATCACTTTATGAAAGCTGGCTGGAAAAAGACCCTTCACCTGAAAATAAAGATTATCCTAGGTAAATTAATATATGCATCTTTTTTACTCTGGGATAAATATAGATTTCCCCCTTTCCCTTGCTCCTCCAAACATGCCATTCTCAGAGAGCTTACCAATAATTTAAATGAATTCAATAAAACTGTCCAGCCAGCTGCTGTTTTGCTTACTAATCAGCTTAGATACATAGTTAATGTTCGGTGTAAGCTAGATATACCTTTGGAAATTTTCAATTAAACTGATTTTATGGGGACTTAAGAATGCTTGCTGCTTGACCAGAGGACCGAAGTTCAGTTCCCAGCACCCATGTCAGGTGGCTCACAACCATCTGTAACCAGCTCCAGGAGATCCAATGCCCTCTTCTGGATTCTGTGGGCACCTGAACATCCTTTTATATACTTGAAGACATATGCATTTAAATATAAGTAAAATAAATTTTATGATGATTTTTGCTTTTTTATTAATCATTATTTGGCATTCTTAGAGAAATGTAATTTTAAATATGTAGTAGATGCTTTAAATAATAGCATAACTCCATGTGATAATGATGTAAAAATAAATGTATTATGTGTACGGATGTGTATGGATGTAAGTGTGTACGTGGGTGTATGTGGTATATATGTGTGTTTATGTTTACTTCTATTATGTGTATATATGTACATCTGTGTGTGGGTATATGTATATATCCTCAGAGGCCAGATGAGTTAGATAAAATGAAACAGGAATTTACAGTCAGTTTTGAGTCATCTGATGTGGGTGCTGGGAACCAAACTTATGTCCTCCGGAAGAGCACTATATGCTCTTAGTCACTGAGCCTTCTTTCCAGCCCCTCTACCTTATTTATTTCTATTTTTTCGTGATAGATCATTCCTTGAACCTGGAGCACCCAGCAACACTGGCTGGTTGTGGATTTTCAGGATCTGACTGTCTCTGCCCCCTATCCTCAGCCATAGGGTTCGAGATATGAGTGGCTAAGACTGGTTCTTATGTGGATTGTGGAAATCTAAATTCTAAGTCCTTATGCTTGCACAGAAAACACTTTGCCCACTGAGTCATCTTCCTAACCCCCTCATTTTATTTTATATGTCTTAAAAGGCCTTACCAATAATCTTCAAATTGTGTGTTTTTCTGTAATCAGTTTAGACTTTTATCTTTTTACATTTTCTCATTCATGTTGTAGTGTCTTCTTGAGTTTATTATATATTTATCCATTTTTATTCAATATGATTTATAAAACTACCAGAAGATGGTAGTAGTCTATAGCTTTCTATTTCCTAAAGTCTTCTTGAAAGTATTATTTTATTTATTTTTATTATAATTTTTTCCTACTTTTTGAGACTATAATCATATTTCCCTCTTCTGTTTCCTCCTTTCAATCCCTCCCATGTACTCTGTGCTTCTCTTTCAAATCCATGGCATCTTTTTCTTCAATTGTTGTTACATATATACGTGTCTATATGTGTACATAGAAACGTGCAGTGTGCATATTCCTAAAGGTATAAATTCAACTTGCTCAGTCCTTATAGTGTTATTTATATATGTTTTCAGGGCTGACCATTTGGTATTGGATAACCAATAGGTGTGCTGTTTCCTGGGAGACTATTTCCTCTGTTCTCATCATTCCTTAAGTTGTCTGTAGTTCCTTGTCTAGGATTGAAGCCTCATGAGCTTTCCTCCTTCCCATGATAGCATATCTACTGGTGTTGTCTGTGTTCAGCTCTTGTTTAAGCAGCCATGTTGGTGAGACTTTATGGGTGTAGCTTCTCTGACAGTTCTAGAAGACACAATCTCAGAGCAACCTTCCTATTCCTCTGAATCTTAACAACCTTTCTGCCTCTTTTTCCACAATGATCCCTGAGCCTTAAGATTCAGAAGTTGTGTTGTAGATGTATCATTTGGGACTTGGCTCCACAACTAGGCATTTTGATCAGTTATGGTTTTATGTGCTGGTTTCTTTCTGTCACAAAGAAAATTTTCCTTGATGTGTAATGAGAATGACACTATTTTGGGGAGGTATAGTGACAAATATTTTATTTATAAAAGTTAATGATTATGCTGGTTTAATAAAGTGGCAATTGTAAGTTCTTTAATATCCATGACTTCACTAGTAGTTCTGATAGTTGGTGAGGTCTCCAGTATCAGGAATGATTTCCCTATTGTTGAGTGGGACCAATGTCCACTTAAATAGCTGTTGTTAACATCAAGGTATTTATGTTAGTATTGCATCCTTGGGTTATATTGTTGATCTTTGCCATTCTGACTGGGTTAAGATGAAATTTTAAAATTGTTTTGATTTACATTTCCTGAATTGCTAAAGACAATGAATGTCCCCTTTTGAGGTTTTACTTAGCTATTATTGATTGATTGATTGATTGATTGATTGATTTTCAGAACTCCCTGTTCATATCCCAACTCCACTTTTTGAGTGAGTCTTTATTTTTTATTTTTTGACTCTGCTTTTTGAGTCCTTTATATATTCTGGTTATTAATCCTGTATTAGCTGCATATCTAGAAAAGACTTTTCTCCCATTCTGTGGGCTTTCTTTTTGCTTGATTGTTGCTTAGCTGTTCACAAGTGTCTTAGTTTTGTCCACTTGTCAATTGTTGGCCTTAATTCTAGGACAAATGGAGTCCTATTCAGGAAGTTCTTTCCTGCACCTACATCTTTCCCACACCTATGTTTTCTTCTAGTAGTTTTGGTGTTTTAAATTTCACATTTAGGTCTTTGAACCATTCGGAGTTAGTTTTTGTGCAAGGTGATAGACACTGATCTAATTTCAGTCTATCTACAAATGAGCATCCAATTTTCCCAATACCATTTGTTGAAATGGTTTTTCCAGGTTATGCTTTTTCGCATCTTTGTCAAATATTCAACGACTGTAGTTATCTATGCTGATGTCACATTGCTGAAACTATAATTTCTAGAAGCTTTCTGTTAGAATTATTGGGATCTCTATGTATAATATTATGTCAGCTGCTAAAAAGGATTGTTTGATGTTTTTTCTACTTGTGTTCTTTTTATTTCCTTTGTTTGCATTATTACTCCAGCTAGTGCTCTAACAAAATATTGAAAAGGAGTGGTGATAGTGGAAAACCCTGTCTTCTTCCTATTTTCAATGGGATTGCTTCAAGTTTTCTCCATTTAGAATGATGTGGTTGTGCATTTCTCATATACATCTCCTATTATTTGAAGTTTGTTTTCTCCAGTCCTACTCACTCTATATGACTTTTATCATAAAGACATGTTGGATTTTGACAAAGAGGGCATGTTGAATTTTTTGCATCTAGTGAGATGATTATATGATTTTTGTTTTTTAAGTCAATTTATTTGGCTTATAACATTTGTTGACTTGTGTGTTGAGCCATACCTGCATCTCAGAGATAGAGCCAGTTTGGTTACACGGATAATCTTTTTGGCGCATGTCTGTATTTGTTTTATAAGTATTCTACCGTGCCTTTTAACTCTACGTTCATAGTTTTCTCCTATTTGTTGTATCTCTACCTGGTTTTGGCATTAGAGTGAAACTGTCTTCATAGAAGGTGTTTGGGAGCACTCCTGTTTCTATTTTATGAAATAGTTTAAGGATGATTGGCTGTAGATCTTTGAAATTCTAGTAGAATTTTGTTGTGAATTCATCTGGCCATGGACCTTTTATAGTTGGAAGTCTTTTTATTACTATTTAAAAGTTTGCTATGGTCTGTTTAGGCTGCCAATCTCTTACTGGTATAATTTTGGTGGTTTAGCTGAAGGTAAACATGTATTAATTTCTTTTAGGTTTTCCAACTTAATGGAGTACAGGTTATTAAAATACTCCCATATAATACTCTAAATTTGGGGGGTATCTATTTTAATGTTTCACTGTTTCTTTCTTTCTTTTGGTTAGTAGGGCCAAGGGTCTGTTGATCTTGCTTATCTTCTCAGAGAATCAGCTCTTCAATTCACTGATTTTTTTTAAATCTCTTTTCCTCTCTCCCTCCCTTTTTCCTTCTCTCTCTTCCTTCCTTCCTTTTTCTTTCTTTCTCTTTCTTCTTTCCTTCTCTCTCTCTCTCTCTCTCTCTCTCTCTCTCTCTCTCATTAATTTCTGTTCTGATTTTTATTATTTCTTGCTGTTGACTAGGTTTGGATTGGTTTGTTCTTGTTCTTCCAAATTTTTGTGTGGAATCATTAAGTAATTTGTTTGTGCTCTTTCTGATTTTTCAGTGTAGGCAGTTAGAACTATAATTTTCCCTCACAAGACTGCTTTTAATGTGTCCCAGAGGTTTTGTTGTGTTGTTATGTTTTCATCTTCATTTAGTTCCAGGAAATTTTTTATTTATTTTTTGATTTCTTCTTTTACCCATTCATAATTCAGTACTGTGTTGTTTAATCTCCATAAGTTTGTGTATTTAATAGAGTTTTGTTTGCTGTCAATTTTAAGTTTCTTTGAATTATAGTCAGAGATGATACATGGAGTTACTTCAATTTTTCTGAATTTGTAAGACTTTGTTTTGTTCCCCAGAATGTGGTCTATTTTAGAAAAGCTTTGCTATCTTTTGTTAGTGAAATGTATATTCCTTTTTGTTTTGCTGGACTATTCTGTAGATATCTGCTAGGTCCATTTGATACATGATCATTTAATTCTAATTCTGATATTTCTCTTATTTTTGTTCAGATGATCTGACAATTGGAGCAAATGGGATTTTGAAATCACCTTCACCAACTATTTATTGGTTGATGTTGATTTGTGTCTTTAATTCTAGTAGTATTTTTTTAATGAAATTGAATGCACCAGAGTTTGATGCATGTATACTTAAGAGAGTAAAGTTTGGGTTAACTGTTCTCTTGATTACAATATTTCCCTATGTCTTTGATTAGTTTCGGTTTGAGATCTATTTTATCAGATATTAGGGTACTGACACTTACTTGTTTCCTGAACCTGTTGGATTGGAATATTTTTGCTCATCCTTTTACTCTAAGGTAGTACCTATCTTTAAAGCAAGTTTCCTGTAACAGATGAATTTTGTTAATCCATTCAGTCAGTTCATGTATTTGATTTAAAAATTGGGGCTGTTGATATGTAAAGTTATTGTTGAAAGGTGCATGTTGACTGTAGTTATTATGTAGTTGATTTGTGTGTGTGTGTGTGTGTGTGTGTGTGTGTGTTCTTGGTAAAATGTATTTTAGTAATTGTAGCTTTACATTTCTCTTGACTATGTTTATTCCTCTTTAGGCTGGCTTTTTCGTGTGTGTGTGTGTGTGTGTGTGTGTGTGTGTGTTTAGTCTGTTTATATCAGGGGGACTTTTTATTTTCTGTCAGCTATCATGGCTAGTTTTACTGGTTTATATCAGTCTAGATTGGCTATTGTGGTCTTTTAGGACATAAAATACATTTTCCCTGGCTCTTCCAGCTTTAAAAGTTTCCACTGAGAAATCACCTGTTATTCTGATGGGTTTTTCTTTATATGTGATTTGTGGTTTTTCCTCTTAGAGCTTTCAATAATCTTTCTTTGTTATGTATAGTGTTTTAACTATAATTTGTCATGGGAATTTTCTTTTCTGATCCTGTATATTTGACACTTTGTGTTCTTCTGGTATCTATATGAATATGTCTTTTCTTAGTTTGAGGAAGTTTTCTTCTATGATTTGGATGAGGATCTGGTCTATGTAATTTACCTCGGATTCTTCTCTGTTGTCTATTCCTGTAATTTGAGGTTTGGCTTTTTTTTTGGGGGGGGCGGGGTTTTTGGTTTTTCAATACAGGGTTTCTCTGTGTAGCTTTGTGCCTTTCCTGGGACTCACTTGGTAGTCCAGGCTGGCCTCGAACTCACAGAGATCCGCCTGCCTCTGCCTACCGAGTGCTGGGATTAAAGGCGTGCGCCACCACCGCCCAGCTGGCTTTTTTTTTTTAATAGTGTTTAAATTTTTTTTTCATACAAATCCTCTTTATCTTTGAGTTTTGATCTATTTTCTACTTAATTAATTCTTCTTGTAAGGCTTCCCTTTGAGTTTTCTAGTTGGGGGTACTGGTTTTTTCAATGCCATCTTCATTTCAGCTTTAGTCTTTCTCAAAGTTTCTCTTTATTGAACTCTGTTTTCAAATCCTGGATTGTCTCCATCATTTTTATGAGCTTTACATTTGTTTTCTGGGACATTGCTCAGACATTCATTCTCTTTAAGTTCACTGAGCTATTTCTTTTTGTCTTCTTTAAACCTTTTGGAATTTTGATGATGTTTATAATTTTTCTTTATAATTGCATCCTGGGGTTCATTTCGGTAATTCTCATTGGCAGACATTTCTCTAGAACTGGTGGATTACTTTATGTGTGTAGGTTTACTACTTTGATATTGCATGATATTATTTGTATCTTTTGTGATGAGATCTGGGCATGTGGACTTCTTTTATTAGTTTGTGTTGGGCTATACCCTAGAGAAGGGTGTTATTTATTTTAATGTGTGTGTGTGTGTGTGTGTGTGTCCTCATTCATATGCCACCCAATTGTGTAGAGGTCAGAGGACAACTTTTCCTTTGTCCCTTCCTTTTTTCTTGTGGTTCACAAAGTCAAACTCAGGTTGTCAGGCTTCTTTTCAAGAGGCATTGTCCTCTAAGCCATCTTGTTGGTGCCCAAATTAGTCTTATTTTTTTTTTCTTTTGGTTTTTCTAGACAAGGTTTCTCTGTGTAGATTTGTGCCTTTCCTGAAACTCACTCTGTAGCCCTGGCTGGCCTCGAACTCACAGAGATCCACCTGGCTCTGCTTCCCGAGTACTGGTATTAAAGGCGTGCGCCACCACTGCCCGCCTCCAAATTAGTCTTGTGAAACTTAAAATGTGTTTTTTCCTTTATAAAAGTTTAATATGCTTATTCAGCAAAAGAAACAAATGGACGAAACACCAGGCTCTTCCTATAAACAGCTTGAGGTGGCCTATGAAAATGGCTTATTAAGTGGTTCAGATGTTTCTATTCATTTAAAAACCTTAGGCTTCAGTGTTCTATAGAACTGATAAACTCTGGTCATATTTAATGTAGCTTGTCACATGAATATTCTAGCAAATAATAAGAAAATAGCTTGAAGATTGTTTAGCTTCTAATTCTTTTTTTTTTTTTTTTTTTTGGTTTTTTGAGACAGGGTTTCCCTGTGTAGCTTTGTGCCTTTCCTGGAACTCACTTGGTAGCCCAGGCTGGCCTCAAACTCACAGAGATCCGCCTGGCTCTGCCTCCCG